TGTGTGTGTGTGTGTGTGTGTGTGTGTGTGTGTGAAAGTCAGCCCCTATGATACTTCAACACATTCAGGATTCTAGGAGCCTTGAGTTTCTATCAACAATTGCTTCCCACCATCATCACTAAATCCCTGATTAAACACTTGCTGAGCTCCCATAAACTGGCTCCCAGAACACTGCTTCACAGAGGCTTTAGCAGAATAGAATGCAGGCATCTAAGGGTTCTCTACAGTGGCATTAGCAGATCCAACTCCCTTCTGTCAGCAGAGGTTATGGTCAAAAATTCTTCTAAAGGTTAGGATCTTTCTTCTTCTTTAGCTGCCTCCCAAAACATTGATTGGGAACACTTTCTTCACTCCTGCCAGACTTACTATAGTCACAACCAACACCTACTCAGAAGTTCAACCTGGACTTTCACCAGAGTTACTCCAAGTCCTGGCTCAGAATACTCAGGTCTACTCTAAGTATGTTCCCTAGAACCTTAGGTAGATACTGAGTCAGATGGTACCAAGGGTTGGGAGGTAAGAGCAGTCTGGCCAGAGGGCAGGAATAAGGGAGTGAATTATCTATAAAGACTTTTCAAATAGTAATAAAACTAACTTAAAGTCAACCTGATTTTGATTATCACCTGTACAAAAATTCCAGACAATGTTAATGACACAATAACTCTCACAAAAAATGCTTTGTTGGTCTAAGTGCTAAGCTATTACTACAGTTACTATTGAGTTATAATACCTAATGCAGGCTTAAAATTATCACTTTTTATACTTATTCACTAAAAAATATTTTATGCTACATGAAAGTTAATTTGGGGAACTATGAATTTTACAAACTCTGCCACACATATTACTTTTGATATAAATTCATAAGTTTGATCATCTTTCAAGCTCACCTCAAGTGTATTTTAATACCCAAGTTTTTATACAATATACCTACCCATGCTTGTAAACAGTAGGTCTAAAACAATCTTAGTTGTATGGAATTTTTCTTTTATGAGTTTTTTTTTTTATTAATGTGAAGTTTCACATAAAACCAATCAAACTCAAAAACATCTGCAAACAGCCAGAATAAGCCTTAAACAACATACAGTCAGTAAAATATCAAGGTGTCAAATTGAGTCTTTCATATGAGCCCACAGAAATTGTGGAGACAGCCAGTAGAAACTCTGCAAAAACAAAAAGTAAAGAAATTGACATAGAAAAAACAGAAGCAAATTTAGACAACTGCCAGAAGAGACAAAAGATAGTGGTCTTGTATTGCTAGAAAAAGTCAAAAGGACAATATTTGATGTACGTTTGTTTTTCCCAAGTGGACACACCTTCTAAATCAATGGATCAAATAATGTTAGTGCCAATGTTCATTTTCTCTGATTTTTGCAGGAGAAAATCTTCAGAAGTTTTTTCCAACAGAAACTTACAGTGAGTTTTCTAGTAAAAATATCTACGTGAAATTTTTCAATTGTGGAGACAATTAAAAGCTGCAAGAATTGCTCTCAAAGAAACAAGACATGGATGGCATTGTACTTCCTGTTGTTTCTTGTAAAGTGTGATTTGTATAAATCTCTGCCAATGTTTTAATATGTTTATGACTTTCCTATTTGTATACCTCTTGCTTCAAATGAAACTTTTCAAAATTAAAATTAGCAAAGACATGTTCCTTCAACAATAAGCTAAGACAGAATGTCAAATCTAACTACAGCTATACACGGTGGTTCACACCTATAATCCCAGCAGTTTGGGAGGTCGAGAGTGGAGGATTGCTTCAGCCAAGGAGCTCAAGACTAACTTAGGCAGCATAACAAGATTTTGTCTCTACAAAAAAGATACAAAAATTAGCCAGACATGCAGTGAGCCATGATCATGCCCCTGCCCTCCAGCCTAGGTGACAGAGACCGCGACTAAAAAAAAAAAAAAAAAAAAAAAATCTAATTATGCTGTCTACCGAATGTGAATATATGGAGGGAATTAGTTTCCTAAGGCTGCAATAACAAAGTAGTACAAACTGTGGAACTTTTTTTTTTTTTTTTTGAGTTGGAGTCTCCCTCTCTCCCCCAGACTGGAGTGCAGTGGCCGCTCCTGGCCACCGCAGCCTCACCTGCTGGGCTCCGGCGATCCTTCCGCCTCGGCCTTCCGAGTAGCCGGAATTACAGGCATGCACTACCACGCCCGGCTGATTTTTTGATTTATTGTAGAGATGAGATCTCGCTGCCCAGGCGGGTCTCGAACCCGCGGGCTCAGGCAATCCACTCACCTCAGCCTCCCAAAGGCGCGGGATTACAGGCTGAGCCACCGAGCCTGGCTTGTGGAACTTAAAACAACAGAAATTACCCTGTTTCCACAGATACTCGGGGAAAAAAACAAAAACAAACAAAAATTGAAATTTTTGTCTGTCTCAGAGCTCTAGAAGTTAAGGAGTAAGAAACTGATGTCGGCAGCAGAGTCATGTTCTCTGAAGAATCTGGAAAAGGATATGTTCTATACCTTTCTCTCAGCTTAAGGTGTTTCCCAGCAACTGTGGTACTCATTCATTGACACGCAGCTGCATAACTCCAACCCATGCCATCATGGTCACGAGGCATTCTCCCTGCATGTCCCTGTCTTTACCGGTCTTCTTCACTTCTCTGTGCCTATCTCTGTGTCTTCACACACCTTCTTTTTAAAAGGACACCAGTCATTTTGGATTAGGCACCACCTACTTCAGTACGACCTCACCTTGACTAATTACATGTGCAATGACCCTATTTCCAAATAAGTTCATATCTGAGTTACTGCAGGTTAGGAATTAACATAGTTTTTTCGCGGGGAGGAGAAACAGGGAGGGGAAGACAATTCAACCCACAACAAGGAGCATGTTGACAGTCATTGCTAATTTGCACATGTTAAGGCTTAAAAACAAACTATGTTATTGTTCATTACTTTAACACATAAATGTGTAGATATGATTTCCCCCTTTTTAATTACCAGTGTAATTAAAACTATTAATCCACTACTTTTCCTTTAAGTGCTGTAATTTTTCTCTTTTACTTAAATGATTACTTCAACAAAAGATTTTCACTATCTGCCTTTTCTTTACTGGGCACCGTTATTATTCAATTCAACATGACTACTGAAAATCATTGTGCTAAAAAACGATGGGCGCAGGTGACCACCAGGCCAGCTGGCCGCATCTTGATCCAGCAGGGACATCAGCCTGCTGAACCCCGACCCCTCCAGGAGCCTTTCCCTCAGATACTCACTTTCCCAGCAGGCTACGCGGCGGAGCTTCCCGTCGGCCCGTCGGCCTACAAGCCACAAGAGAAACGGCACAGGAGAAATTCCATGGTCGGCTTCTTCCACAGTAGGGGGCGCCCCGTTCTCTGGTCTGCCTGAAGCCCGCGCAGCTCCCGTCTTCTAAAAAAGGTCAACACCCCTTCTACGCCCTCCCCCAGATTGCCAACGAGGCAAGCTCTGATACTCATGCGCAAACACGTTCACCACGCGCGAAGCAACGGCGCATGCGTCCGCTGAAATTGCCTCTGCCCGGGCTCTCCGCCAGAGTTTCCAGTTCCGGCCTCCAAGGGGCAGGCAGAAGCCGGGAATATGCGGCTGTCGGTCGCCGCCGCCATCTCTCATGGCCGCGTATTTCGCCGTCTGGGCCTTGGTCCGGAGTCCCGCATCCACCTTCTGCGGAACTTGCTCACGGGTCTGGTGCGGCACGAACGCATCGAGGCGTCGTGGGCGCGTGTGGACGAGATGAGGGGCTACGCCGAAAAGGTGAGGAGCGTGGCCCTCTCGTGTAGCGAGCGGATATGACCTGGGGGCGGGATCCTGCTGCAGGTGGGACCACCCTAATAACTCCTTCCCCAAGTCTGAATCCCCTAGTACCGTTCTTCCAGCGCCCCAAATGAAGACTGTTAGGGCTGCGGAGTTAGGGCATTAGAGATGCTTTGCTAGTGGAATGAATGAATTGCGTTCCGGCGTTAGAGAAGTTAGATTGGTGCTTTGTTTCTTGCTGGAATTGGATCCTTGATGTTATGACCTTACAGCTCATTGACTATGGAAAGCTGGGAGACACCAACGAAAGAGCCATGCGCATGGCTGACTTCTGGCTCACGGTAAGTGCGTCCTATCTCCCACGTAAATCGCATCCTTTGCTCCTTGTGGAGGAAAGGAAACTGGGCAGAATTAAGCCAGAGTACTCATTTATGGACCAGTGTTGTGCCAGTTGAACTCGATGTGATTATGCCGTTTTACAACTGCCCGAGTGACCTACAGTATAACTAACTGTCTTTACCAGATTGGGCCGTGGGGAGGTCTGTGTTGTGGAGCTTACCTTTGAGTTTGGCTGAAAATTAAATGTCTCTACTGTCTCCTGGATAACTCTCTTCCTCTAGGAGAAGGACTTGATCCCAAAGCTGTTTCAAGTACTGGCCCCTCGTTACCAAGGTCAGAATGGGGGCTACACAAGAATGCTGCAGATCCCAAATCGGAATGCGCAGGATCGAGCAAAAATGGCAGTGATCGAGTATAAAGGGAACTGCCTCCCACCCTTGCCTCTGCCTCGGAGAGACAGCAACCTTACACTACTCAACCAGCTGCTGCAAGGACTACAGCAGGACCTCAGCCAGAACCAGGCAGCAAGCATCTACAACTCCCACACAGCTCAAACATCAGGGCTTTAATTGGATCTGCAGGGTCTGTGACCCTCATCAGTGCCTATGATCACAGGCCTTTGAAGCTCCTTTAATCTTTAAGAAGACCTGGAGATAGAGCTGTAAAATTGATAGTCTTGATGGGGCCAAAAACCCTCTGGGAAGCCAGATGATCATCTTTTTGCAGAATAGATAAAATTCTTTATCTGAGTCTATATCAGTTGGTTTTTTTCCCCCTTCCCTTGGGATTTCTGGAGGAGAACTATTCAAATGCTCAATCGACCTGAGATAAGAAATTCATGGCTTAAGTTTCTGGTCCTTAGATTTGTTAGTATAATTTTTTAGTACAGTTTTATTTGTCTTAATGTCAGTTTTACATGGGGGTATGTATCCTATAATTCCAACCTGGTTCCTGAAGGTGATTCTGTTTTGATATCCAGTCTCATGGAGACTGATCCCCTAGAATTTCTTTGAGAAAGAGTACTTTCTGGCAGGAGTTGGGGAGTAAACATCTGCAAGTGAAACTTCCTTTAGCGATCTGGTACCATGGGAACCTTCAAGGGACACTGCAACCATTCCTGTTTCTGGCAGGATCTCCCATTACCTTCATGTGCTCCCCTCCACATCTTGATGGGCTCCACTTGGAGGAGAGTACCTAAGAACTCAGATGTTCCAGCACCCTGGCCAGAAGGGTGGAGACATTCAGCAAAGGATGTTGGATTTCCAGGATTTCCAAGCTCCTTCCTCTTGACAAGGGGAGGGAATGACAGAGATGGTCAAAGTGAGAGGATAATTAGGAAGTTAAACCTCCTGGGAATTTCCTGGAAGTTTTAATTGTTGTCAAGTCTGGGCCTGTGGGAACTCAGAAAAGGGAAATCCAACTTCAGAATGGCCAGAGCATGTGAGAAGCAGGGAGCTCCTTTATATTGACTAATTCTGGGGAAAGCAGGCTTGGCCCATCCTGACTGTCGTCCCTTAGGTTCAGAGGCTTGAAAAGGGTGATAGTCATTGAAGGACTTGGAAAGGAGCCATTACCCTTGGCCTGAACACTTGATGGCCAAGAGTCTGGTAGTTGCCATATCCCCAGTAGAGTGGGGTAGAAGAGATTTTATCTTAGGCTTCAGAGTATTGTTGGCCCACTGAACCCATCCATTGTCTGAAATAAAAAGTAAGAGTGAGGCTAGAGGAGTCATTGTGTAACCCATAGACCTGAGCTTCAGTGACAGACCTATTCTGATGCTATTTTTTCACAGCTGCCCTAGTTTGAGATTGATCTGGTTCCAGCAGGGCTCTCCACCTCTTTACCTGTACTCCAGTCTGTTCTTCACACCATTGCCAGAAGGCTCTTTCTTACATTTTGAGTCACATATAGTAGACACTAAAAATGTGAATCAAATAAACCCACAAATCTGAATGCTTTTCCTCTTAGGCACCAGAAGCATCTCCCTTTGGGGCACTCAATAGTTCCCTGTGTGCTCATGATGCTTCTGCTAGTCTACATCATTTTAAGCAGAAGGGATACATTACTTATCAAATGTTTGCTGTTTGTCAGGCTCTAGATTAGATGCTAAAGATAAAGATGAGAAAAAGCAACTTCTCCCATCAAGGAGCTCACAATCTAATGGGCCACTAGATGGTCCCATCCTCTATAGTGTTTTGACCCAAATAAGAGTACATGAGTCCTAGTATATTTGCTAAAGACTCAGGGATAACACAAGGGAAACAACATTTTCAGGAATTTTACCAATCTGATCTATAACTTTTTGCTTCAGTTCGTGGACTGTTTCCCCAAGTCCATCTAAGTCACCTCTTTCACCACTTTCAAAGTGTGTCTATCTTGGGCTCTAATTTTTTACACTAAGGTTGACAAAATAATGCCCATTTCCTTCTCTGATAACAAATTTACTCTAATAGTTAACACTGTAATCCTGGTATCCACAGGCGACCACTAGAAAAATTGGGTATTATTTCCTTACACTCATCTCTTCTACACTGGAATTAACAAGTCATGTTGATTTCCATGATGTTTTCAAATCTGCAATCACTTCTTTCCTTGATATGAAATACCAGATATCTCTATCCTAGATTACTGCAACAGCTTCCTCCTCCTAACTTGCTTCCCTCCACACTCCAGCTTTAAGTGATAGAATCTGATCATCTTAATTCCCTGCTGGTATCTCCAGTCATTACCCACGGGAAAGAGTCCAGATTCCTTACCATGGCTCCCTCCTTAATAGCAGCTCTGTTCACTACTCCAGCTACTTCTTTTGGCTCTAATTCTGTGATCCAAAAGCGTGAACATTCTTATTTTGGTTGTTACTCTGTGCACAGCTCCCTTGCCACCTTTTTTCATGCAGTCCCTACCTTGCAGAAAGGCTTCCCCCTTTTACCTATCTAACTTACACATAAACTTTTGTCATCTCCTAACTGGCTGAAGCCCCTATTTTCACACCTAAGTTCATTACTTTGTCAACCCAGATACTTTTATAATGTTTCCATTATAGACTGAATTTACCACATTGCAATACAGTTCCCTACAGTGAATTAGTTCCCACGTTAGTCTAAAACTGTCATGTATTTTTATCCCCTTGTTATTAATGGGTTCAGACTAGACAGGCCTAAACTAATTTCACGTAAAGAATCCAGGCTCTATTCTGGATTAGAATAAATTGGCATGTTTTCTAAGTGCCACTGGGGAACTGGTTTTAGGCTGAAGATGACACAATAACAGATTAGAACAACTAAAACTACAGTACCTAGAGTTCCCAAACTAGAATGCTAGTTACATTGAAATAATCTTTTTTGGTGATTATTCCCATTTCAGTCAGTTTTCCAATCTGAGTAAGTTTTTGGTTACCAAAAACTTTTTTTTTTTTTTACCAAAAAAATTATTTTTGCTACCAAAAATAATCTGATATGTTAATTTGAATACCATTGAACTTTCAGTGCTTCTTAAAAAAATTTGTTTTACTTTTACATCAGAACACAAGTTCATAAACATAAATAATTGAAACAAAATCTTTACGAAACATTTACCTTAACAAATGCGTACACCATTATTTTCTCCTCTTGTTCACGTTTTTAAAATGCTGGTCTCAATTTGCTAAATTGATTTTACAACCCACCAATGGGTTACAAACTGCTCTTGAAAAACACTGTTCTCAGCCAGGATTCCAGTGACTAACCATAGCTTTTGCTGGATAAAATCCAGACTCAAAAGCCATCTATGGCCTCGTCCCAGCTACTTCTCAGACTCCTGTCTAACCACCATTTGCCACCACCCTTCATAAGAAACTGCTTGTTATTCTCTGAATATATCACCACTTTGTGCATGATATTCCCTTTACTATAATGCTTGCCCTTTTTGATTTTTATCCAAATGCAAATTTATTTAGATTTGAAATCCTAAAGTAGAGCCTGTAGATAAATAACCTAGTACTTTTTGAATTCAAAAAAATCTAGATGATGAAATCCTGCATATATTCAAGTCTGTGTGAAGCGTAAGGTCAAACTGGAAAGTGGACATTTGAACATCCCTCTGTCTTCTCCCCTCCCTAAATACAGGCTTCTGAGTCTATCAGCCATCCCTTGGTGAAAAGCAGCAATCCCTGTTTCCCCAGATGCTCTTCAATAACAACAGCACAGGCTTGCCCTCCTTTAAGTCAGCTTTTACTTGTCATTCAAACCTTTGCTCAGAGGTCACTCTTTTGAAGTCCCCAAACTCTACGTCACCAAACAGGATTAGGCCCCTTCTGTGTGCTGTTATAGACCTGTAGGCATACAACTACCAATCACATATACTACAGTTGCCTGTTTACTTAAATGATTCCTTCATTCAACCAAACTTATAAAGCCAGGGACTGGGACTTATTCTTCTTGATAACTCTACCATAAGGCCCAATACACAGTACGTGCTCAATATGTTTATTAAATAAATAAGGAAGAGTATGCTACGTCCTTGCCATATTCAACTCTGGTTGAGCTTTACAAAACAATATATGTGGTACCATGTACAGGGACAGAGTTAAGTTACGTTGCTGAGTATACCAAGACAAAAAGAAATGGTCTTCCTCTCCAGGGACTTGTATGCTAATAATGATTGTCAAGAATGTAAGCATATGTCTAATTCATTTCCCACATATTTTATAGTCCAATTTCCTGGAATATGTCTAACAAACTCTCAGAAAATACCTATACATTTTTCAAGACTAGCCAAAAGCTGAAATGATGCTTTTTTTGTGAAGTATTCACAGAGTTCCCCAGGTAAAACTCAGCATCAATTCAGTGTTTTTTAAATTTTTTAAATTAATATATTCATCACCACCCACGCTGTATATTAGATCCACAGAACTTGTTCATCTTAAAACTAGAAGTTTGGACCCCTTGATCAACATCTTTCCATTTCCCCTACACCTCAGCCCCTGGCAACCACAGTTCTACTCTGTTTCTGTGAGTTCAACTTTTTTAGATTTCACATATAACAGATGACACAATATTTGTCTTTCTATGTCTAACTTATTTCAGTTAGTATAATGTCCTCCAGGTTCATCTATGTTATTGCAAGTGGCAAGATTTCCTTCTTTTTTATGGCTGAATACAATTCATTATATATATGGAATTTTATTACCATATATATTCTCTTTGTCCATTTGTATGTTAACGGACACTATCTTTATCTATTTGTGTGTTAACAGACACTTAGATTGTTTCTATATCTTGGCTATTGTGAATAATGCTGCAGTGAACATGGGAGTGCAGATATCTCTTCAAGATACTGATTTCGGGCTGGGCACAGTGACTCACACCTATAATCCCAACACTTTGGGAGGTCAAGGTGGTGGGATCACTTGAGGTCAGGAGTTCGAGACCAGCCTAGGCAACATCGCAAGACCCTGTTTCTACCAGAAAGAGAGAGAGAGAGACTGATACCAATTATTCTGGATGTATATTCAGTAGTAGAATAGCTGGATCATATAGTAGTTCTATTTTTAATTTTTTAAAGAACCTCCATACTGTTTTCCATAATGGCCATACCAATGTACTTTCCTGCCAACAGTGTACAAGTGTTCCTCCTTCTCCACATCCTTGCCAACACTTGTTGTCTTCTGTCATTTTTATAATAGCCATGCTAAAAGTGTGAGGGGGGTTATCTCATTGTGGATTTGATTTGCATTTTTCTGATGTTTAGTGATGTTGAGCACCTTTTCATTTACTTGGC